GAGTGATGATTGGAAAAAGAATTTTCGTTGATAAACTTTTGTAACTAATTTCGTTGTTGGCTTGGGTTCTACGATTATTCTGTATCTTGTTCTTCTCTTGGTCATTTTTTGTTTGCGTTTTCTTTTGTTAGGATGAAAAGGTCGTTGATACATCTGAAGGCGCAGATCCATCTAGTTTGGCCAATAAAGTTGCTAGGGTGGCTGGGTCGGTTAAGGCTAGAGAACATGCTGCTCCTGCTCACGCCAGCCTTGAGACAGTCCAAGAGTTAGTAAAAGAAACTGGATCTGTTGAGTGGCAAATTCAAGTGCAAAATGGCCTTGATGATGCCTTGAAAAGGCGGCTGCAAAAGCTGATTGACTCTAATCGAGTCATGCTTTTCATGAAAGGAACCCCTGAGGAGCCCAAATGTAAATTTAGCTTATTAGTTGTTAAACATTTGAAGGATTATGAGGTCGAATTTGGAAGTTTTGATCTTCTTAAGTACAATAAAGTCATGGAGAGGATACAGAAGTATTCTAACAGGCCACTATTACCACAAATCTACTTCGAAGGGAGGGCTCGTGGTTTCTATCACATAGGAACTATAATGAAAGGTTACCCAAGTGAAAGCGATGATGCTTTTGAATAGATTACACAATAGAAAAGTTGCACAAGAGTTAGCAATGAACTTTTGCCAAATGTGATTTTGATAGAAGAAAAGATATTGAGGCATTTGCAATGTAATGTTTTGATTCTTAACGGTGTACTTTATTTGCCTGGCTGATTTCTTTTTCTTTTATGGTTTACTTTCTTTTTTAATAGTAGAATGTTAGTCGACAATGAACCCCAAATTTGTACTCTCCTTTAGTTTAGTCATCTGTTTTATGTTTCTTATTCCTATAAGTTTATTAATTTGTTTTATGTTTATGTTGATTCATCTGTACTCTCCTTAGGTTGTTGTTCTAATTGATGTATCTGTTTGCCGTCTTTCTGGCTTTTCAATGAAGCTTCAGTTATTGAAAAGAACAAATATAAAACCGCAAATAGTATATGTATATATACAATTGATTGAGTTGAATCTAAATATATATATATATAAAATTGACTGAGGCATATTCTCATTCCTTTTTCTCTTTTTCTTTTTTACTCAATAATTTTCAGATTTTTATCAGGAAGCAGGATGGGACGCAACAAACATCGCTTATATCTCTAATAACAAATAAGGAACAATATATGTTGGTGTCTATTCAAGGACTACATGTAGTATGAGCAAAGAATTTATAACGACAGATGATGCATACAAATATTTATACATGGAGAATTGCAATGTATTTGCAACTAGGACGGGAAAGGTCTCCAATAGCAAGAAAATGTTAGCACATGTGGATAAGGGATTTTATTATATGCAATTTGAAAGTCGAGAATTCAAATGAATTGTTACAACATGTGATAAGGGATTTTATTATATGCAACCCTTTTTATTTATTTATGAATATAACGGTGGATATGTGCACGTGTTTGAGATTTAAAAAAAGAAGAAGGAGGTTTTGAAACGTTATATGACCGACCGGTTCTGAGAGCGCTTCTCGATCATTATGATGCCTTAACTATTTATATTACTTCCAATTCATTGTAAAATATAATAAAAAAACCTTACCAATAGGATTATGAGGGAGGAGGGGGGCCTTTTTTTTTTTTTCTTTTTCCTTTTGTCTCTAAAATAAATAGGCCAATAGAGTCTAGCCTTGTCATGTAAACGAGTGGTCTCAAGTTCAAACCTCCACAACACCAAGTGTGTGAGAAACCCCACCTCCAATTTAGACTATCGCTTGTATAAAAAAAAAAATTTCAAAGAATACCAATTTAACTCCTAAGTTCTTCAACCATGCTACTTGTTTGCATGCAATTACATGGTTATATACAAAAAGAAAAAAGAAAAAAAAAAGGTGATGATATCAAAGAAGTTCGAAGGAATGATATTTATGATCTCATCAAAAAATAACTATATTATCAAATATCGGTTATAAACTTGGTTGGAGAAATCATCTTTTTACCATACGAGTTATTTTCAAAATGACATAAAATAACAACAAATACATAGATATTATGTTATAAAAATAAAGAAAGTTGCAAACATATGCCACCATATAAAATTTCTCCCCGATTCATGACTTCTTGTCATTTTCTTCTCTTTTTGGTTGTATACGACATTTATTGTTACATGTCACCAAGATTAACCATCTAACAAGGTAACACATTTTGATTGATAAACATCATATTTTAGGTCACTACTAAAAAAAAAACCCTTGCGCGACGAAACAAAATTCGTCGCGCAAAGTCACTTTGCGCGATGAAACAAAATTCGTCGCGCAAAGTGACTTTGCGCGACAAATATTAACCATCGTCGCTCAAAGTCTTACGCAACTCAATTTTGCGCAACGAAAAAAAAATCATCGCAAAAAGTTACTTTGCGCGACGACAAAGCATCGTCGTGAAAAGTAACTTTGCGCGACGAATACTAGAATTAGGTGCACACAGTTTTGCGCGACGAATAGTGATTCGTCTCGCAAAGTATTTACAACAATAAATAAATAAAAAAAAATATTTTTAAAAATTTTTGGATGCCTTTGCGCGACGATATAATAATCTTCGTCTCGCAAAGTCTTTACTAAAATTAAAATTAAAAAAAATTTGGAAGACTTTGCATGACGAAATAATAATCTTCGTCTCGCAAAGTCTATACAAAAATAAATAAAATAAAAAAATTATTTTGTTAGAAAAATATACTATTGTAGTTCGGATTGGGTTTTTGTAGAAAATATATATTTTAAATTGACGATCAAATTGGTTCATTGTATTCATATAGGGTCAAGGAATGTAGCTGTAAAAAATCATCAAAATCGGAGTTAAAATAACTGTTTAATCGTGATTTTTGTTTATAACCATCGAAAAGTTTTGTCCCATTACGTGATCTCTGAATGTTTATTTTTTCC